GGGCGGCGCGGGGTCGCCGAGCGGACCGCGGAGGCCGCGCAGCTACCCGCACCTGGAGGGCGACGTGCGCTGGCGGCGCCTCTTCTCCTCCACCCACTTCTTCCTGTGCGTGGATCCCGGCGGCCGCGTGCAGGGCACCCGCTGGGGCCACAGCCCTGACAGTGAGTGCGCGCGGGGCGGCGGGCGGGCGCGCGCGGTGGGGCGCACGCGGTGGGGCGCGCGGGAGGTGGCAGTGACACCCCCGACGGCAGCGAGCTGGGCCAGGGCTGCAGCTGCAGGAGGGGGTTCCCTGTGTGGAGTCTTGCTCCTCCCCAGTCACACGGGCGCAGCTCTCCTGGTGGACAGTCGACACCAAGGGGCAGCGCCAGCCCCAGACCTGGCTCAGCTGCACTGTCCTGTGAGAGGCGTGAACGCTAGGCTCCTGAACACTGCAAAGCCCCATCAGGACCTGCCTGTGGGAGACGCCTATGCTTTCTCCCAGACACCCCCCCCCATTTGGCAGATGGGAAGTTGAGGCACAGGGGATGTGATGTACCCAGGGTCACCCCGCGGGAGTCACAGCCAGCCAGTGTCTTACCCACCAAACAGTAGACTCTTAGTGTTTGTGGAATGATGTCAGAAAAGGACTTTGGGGTCACTGGGGCCCAGGGGAGTCAGTGACTCCAGAGCCAGCCTCAGTTTCCCTGCAGTTCTTGGGGCCCTGGTAGGGGTAGCTGGGGAGGGGGCCAAGCTAATCGCTGGCCACCACCTGAATCACCACCATTAGGGCAGATAATCACCCCCTGCCCTGCCCAGCTGCTTTCATCTGGGCTCCAGGGCCTCAGTAGGCTGCACGCGGCAAGGACTGGCTGGGCCGGTCGGTCAGTGGTGGGCATGGCCAGGTAGGTGGCCTCAGGCTGGGGGTGAGGCCTGACCCCACTGCGTGACCTGAAATGGTGGCTTTCTCCCCGTGGATCTGGCTGGCCCAAGCCACCAGCACAGGGGTGATGGATGAGGGACAGCTCAGTGTGGGCGGAGCCTGGGGCACATCTGTTTTAGGGTAAGTGGGTGTCTCCTGTGTGGTGCAGAGGTGGCCTAGTATTAAGAAGCTGCGCTGCAATCCCGAAGATATTCAGATCCACCAGTTGCTCCACAGGCGAAGGTCGGGCAATCTCCCGTGCGATCCAGTCTCTGAAAACTCGCTGCAGAGTCAGGTCTGGGTCTGTTCTGACTCAGTAGCACACACCACCACCCTGTGCTGGACTGAGCATGGCCATGGCAGGAGGACACAGAGCGGGAGGATGCAGAGGGCGCGGCCTGGCCTGCTCTTATGGGGCTCCTAGGGCAGAGGTGAGATGTAGTTAAACAGTGAACAGTCACATAGTGTATAGGAGAGGAAAAACAGTGCAGTGGAGGGGCGAAGCTGCCAGCCGTGGAGCTACACCAGCCGGGCAGTGGGCAGTCCCGTGCCCTGAGGTTGGAGGGAGGGGCTGCAGTGCTCCCTGATGGCTTGATCATGAGGGCGCTGGGCAGCTACAGCAAGGTTTTGAGCAGGTGAGAGGCAGGATGTTCTCATCCAGCTGCTGTGCGGGAGGCTTGGGGATCTTGGCTGAGGTCTGCTGGACACATTTTTTGGACTGCGGAGCAGAGGGCAGGAATTTGGTCTGAGGGGGTGCTTTAGGGGGTCAACTCCAGCCAGCCCAGCCATGAGGAATAAGTTCAAAGCCAGGAGGGGGTCACTGAGTGACAGGAGCCCTGGGCTGAATCTGAGCCTGCTGTCTTCACACCTCCCCTGACCCCAGGAGGTTCAGCCTCCCCTAAGTTTGGAGAGGTGAGTGGGAGGGAATCCACTGTGGCCTGGTGGAATGAGCCCCAGCCCTGGGTTCAGATGCTGCATGGGAGCCACTGTAGGGTACACACTGGCCTGCCCTGGGCACCCGCTCCACACCCCTCTGTGGCTACTGTGCCCTGGGTGGGAGAAGGTAGCCCCTAGCCCCTTCTTGCGCTCCCGCTCATCTACCCTTGCAGTCTCAGCACATGTCCAGGATGGTTCACTCGAGGCCTCTTCTGGCCCTGACTTGGTCAGTTCCTGTCTGTGGCCCCCATTCACACAGGAGGTGTTCACTTGGTTGAAAGAAGTCGGTGAATGAGGGATTCCCCAGCGGTCAGCTGATGAGGGAGGGAGTGAACCATGAACTGTGAGGGGAACTGGGACCCTCAGCCCTCCTCACATACACCTCTCCTGTCCCTCTCTCAGGCATCGTGGAGATTCGCTCTGTCCACGTGGGCACTGTGGTCATCCAGGCTGTCCACACCGGCTTCTATGTGGCCATGAACCGCCGGGGCAGGCTCTATGGGTCGGTGAGTGCAGGGCTCCATGAGTGGGGTGGGGAGGGGAGGGGAAGGGCGGGGACCAGCAGGTGGGGTCCGGGCCTCACCGACCACCCCGCCCCCAGCGGGTCTACACCCGCGACTGCAGGTTCCAGGAGCGCATCGAGGAGAACGGCTACAACACGTATGCCGTGCAGCGCTGGCGCCATCGCGGCCGGCCCATGTTCCTGGCACTGGATGGACGCGGGGTCCCGCGGCGCGGTGGGCGGACGCGCCGCCACCACCTGTCCACCCACTTCCTGCCGGTGCTGGTGTCCTGAGGCCCCAGAGATGACCAGGAACCTGTTGACCATCTCAGGAGCAGAAGACCCGAGGGTCCAGGAGATGCTTGAAGAATGGCCCAGCACACAAACCAGTGCCTCCTGCGTGCTCCGGCGCTTGGGCAAGCAGGACCTGACAGGGCCAGCACCAGGAAGCCCTGTCCAAGAAGGGCCCAGCAGGACCTCAGGCCAGCAGCATGCTGGGTGGGGACAGGCATTCGGAGAGCTTGGGCAGCACAGCCCTGCTGGGACTCTGAGCTTTCCCTGATGTAGAGGTGAGGCTGGGTGGAGCTCCTGGAATGGGCAGGGAAGGCTTTGGCAGGCCACAGCTGTGTGGAGCCCCAGGACGGTGACTGTGGCATCTCCTGTGGCTAAGGGGATGTGGCAGGTGAGGCTGTGCAGGGCTGGAGCAGGGAGGTGACTCTGGGGCACCCAGGACCAGTGGGCACAGGCTGCTTGTCCCAGGGCAGGTAGGAGAGAGGTAGACACACTGCAGATGTTGCCCTGGGCTTTGAGACACAGCAGGGGCCATGGCCAAGGGAAGCTGGACAGAGGGGAGGGAGTGGCCACATCCCATCCCAACCTCCAGTTCTACCATCATCTTGCTCCGGCCACTCCGGAGTCTCAGCTGTAGGGAGCGAGCTGAAGTGCGGTTCTTCCGTGGACAGCCAGGTCCTTCTCAGGGAACCCTGCCTGGGAGCCTATGAGACTGCAGAGAGTGGGCACAGGGATGGGAGATGATAGGTCTGTGTTCACTCTGAAGTTGTTTAACCAATAAAATCTGTCTCCAGGTGCCTCAGTATTGTGGGTTGTGGATGGTTAGTGGGGTGTAGGGCTGGCAGGCTGCTGGGACGTATCTGGAGAGAGGGTGCAGTATCTCCTCACTTGGGGGCAGGGGTTCCTGGTCCAGCCCAGGGCTGACAGAGTCCTGGTCTCTGGGCCCCTGGGGGAGGGCTGGGGGGCGGCGGTTCACTGGTCATTTCCTCCCCTCATAAAGGGCCAGAGTGGGCCAAGTGGGGTATTTGGCTTGTTGAGTGCTGGGGTGAGTGGGCCCTTCTCCCACTTGAAACACAAAAAATGGTTTAGGAGGGGCAGGTGTGGGGGTGTTCACCGACAAGTGCTCAGAGCCCTGGAGACTGAACCTCACCATGCAGGGAGAGGGTCTCACCTGGGTGATGCTACATCAGGTGATGTAGCTGTGAGGACATTTGTGCGTGTGCAATTCAGGGTATACTGGCATTAGGGGTACATGGCCAGGGACAGTCAGCACCCCCAGTGCACAGCAGCACCTCTGAAGTGACCCATCACACTGTGTCAGCACCAGAAGGTGTGGTGGTAGGAGCCCTTGAGTACAACCCACAGTGACCCTGTGAACAACAGATCTGACTCCCGTCCTGTCCTGCGCCGTCCTCACGCTTCCTGACACACTAGAGCCCACTGCAGCAGTCACCATGTCAGTCCACCTGGTTGAGGGTCTTCCTCTCCTTCGCTGACCCTCCGCTCTCTGGCTGCATCCCCCACCCCAAGACATATCTGCTCATGTGGCCATCCATGGATGGTCAGTGCTCTTCTCCAACACCACAACTCAAGAGCATCTATTCATCTTTTGCCATCCTTATTCATTGTCCAGCTCTCAGATGCATAGCAAGTGATCAAAAAGACCATGGCCTGGATCAGGCGTACCTTAGCCCGTAAACTGGTATCGTTGTTGTGTACTGTTGAGTTGGAATGGACCCATAGCTGACCCTCTGGGGGGTTTGCAGAGGCAGTTAAGTGCTGTGAGAGCCCATCCTTCTCCTGTGGAACAGCTGGTGGCCTTGAACCACATGCACAATTGCAGCCCAGCTTCTTACCACCAGGCCATCAGAGCTCCCAGCTGTCATCACTCCTCAAAAATCTGGAGAGATCCCTCCCTAAATGCAGACTGTCAATGCAGTGGGTCTCCCAGTTATCAAGGGTGTTGGATCAGGGATCCAAGTAAGATGAAGTTGTTAAGTTTCACTCTTTTCTCCATGATTGTCCAGTGGTAAGAATCTTTGTTTTTTTGACATTGAGATGTAATCTATATTGAAGCCTGTATTCTTTGATCTTCTGCATCAAGTGCTTCAAGTCCTCCTTACTTGAAGCAAGCAAGGTTGTGTCATCTGCATAATACAAGTTATACATGAGTCTTCCTCTCATCCTGATGCCACATTCTTCTTCATCGAGTCCAGCTACTGAGAGAGATATGGACCCTTGTTAGTTATTCAGGACCAGAGTCACTGCTAGCACTGTCCACCAGTAACTCCTGCTGAGCTGGAAGGAGACAAAAGGGATCCCCTCCATCTGAAACCATCCCTTTTCTTCCACTCAGCGTGCAGATTTCAGAGGTCAAGAGGTTTGTGGGGCGCAGTCTCCCGGGCGTTCTCACCTGGGGAAGGTTCTGCCACTCTAGGGACACGGGTGACGTGGGGACACTGTGTATCACTAGGAGAGTGCTACTGGTAGAAAGGTCTTAGTTCCCTGTCCCTCCCCAGGGAACCACCTGCTGCCCACAAAAGCAGTACACACAGGCATGTGTGCGTGTGTGTGAGGTCTGTGCACCCCCACACCTCGCCCCAGAATGCCCTAATACCAGACCCGGGCCCAGGAATCATGAAGTGCTGTGAACCAGATAGGGGCAGAAAGTCTGTTCCTTCAGAAACTTCATTCTAAGATGGGTGACCACTATAAGTTGATTAATTCAGTCTCCTCTGGCCAGGTCTGGAAACTTCTCTAGACCAGTCAGTATTGCTGACTCTAGAACCAATGAAGAAAACCCACCCAGAGGGTGTGTGTCCAATAGAGAAGGCTGGGAAATGGGCAGAGAGGACACTGTGCTCAGGGAGGGCCTGTGAGTGAAATATCCCAGTCACAAAAGGACAAATATTACATGATGCCACTGTTGTAGAATGGGACTGTCCTTGGGGCTGGGGAGAGACTGAGTAAGATGGATTCAATAATGTGTACTGCACTGAAACAGAGGAGGGAGAAAACTGTTTAAAAGAGAGATGTAACTGGCCCCTCACCCCACCCCAGCTTCTGACCCACCTGTGAGGCTGTGCTTACCACAATGCCCCTGCCCTGGCTTCAGACTCCCACCCTCGGCCTCCTGCCCACCTGTGATACCATGCTGACTACAACGACCTGATTGTGGGAAGGTGCCTTCAGGCAGCAGACAGACCCAGCACGCCATGGTACACACAGTGGGCCCTTTCATTTCGCCACTTCAGGGGTCGGGCCCCATGGAGGCAGCCGGGTGGCACAGAAGGACTCTCCGGGTCCCTGACTGCTTCACCTCACACAAAGATGACTCCAGACCACTCACTTTGTCAGTACGCTGTATTTTAAATAGTTCTTGAAATACACGTATTTTCCTCTTAAAACGTCTCTTCGGTAACTCTTCCACCTGCTGCTGTCCTCATGGTCCCGAGACCTGGGGGGCTGGCGGGTGGTGGGCAGAGCCCTTTGCAGCCTTCCCATTTCTCCACACACCATGCCCGGCCGCTTAGGAGCTAAAACGTCCGTTTATTTCAAAGCAGTAATAATTTAAAATTATAAAAACCTTTCCGCTGTTGAACATTAGAAGGCGAGGTCAGAGTCAGATGGGGAGGGGAGGCTGGACAGCGCTCGCAAGGTGGCCACGCGCTGGGGTGGCCAGTCCTCCAGGAGGCCAGCCAGGTAGGGGTGGCCGAGCTGCTCGCCTGACCTGGGTCGGGGCCTGCCCGGCCTTCGTGACTGAGGTCACGGGGGGCGGTGGCAGGACACCTCCAAGTCCGTAGATGTGGTGTGGGGCTGGGAGAGGCAGGCCGCTCCAGGGCCCCGGGGGTCTCAGCACCCGACCCCTCCCTCTGATGCTGGGGGGGTCCTGTGCTTGCTCTGGGGGTGGGACAGGCGGGGCAGGGCTCAGGAGTTACTGGTGGCGTTCTCGTTGCTAGGTGAGCTGGAGGAAGAAGATGATGACGAGGAGGAGAAGCTCACCCTGGTTAGTCCTGGCGGATTGGTGGCCGTGTTCTGTCCTGTGAGGCTCTTCCGGCAGACGGGGCAGCTGTCGTGCTTCGAAGGGGACAGAAGAAGGTGAGTCTGTATGTTGGCCTTGTGGGGAGCACGGGGCGGGGCCTGGGTGAACAAGGGGTGGGACCTGGGTAGGGTCAGGGCAAAGTCTGGGGACAAGGCCTAGGGGAGAGTTGGGCAGGATCAGAGTGAGGTCTGGGGCTAGTGTTTGGGGGGACCTGGGGCAAGCGTGGGGCGGGGCCTAGGCCGACAGGTATGCTCACCTGCTCCAGCCAGGGCACGATGCAGCCATCATGGAAGAGATGGTTGCAAGGCAGCTGGCGCACACTCTCCCCCAGGGCATAGTCATCTTTGCACACTGGGCACTCGAGCCCGGAGCCTGTCGGAGCGTGGAGAGGGGAGCGAGAGGTCAGGGCCTCGGCGAAGGGAGCCTGCTGCCCGCTCCACACAGAGCTGGCTCCGCAGCCAGGTGCCATGCCTTGAGAAGACCCCACCCCCACAGCACAGAAGCGCACCTACGTGCTCCTCTGTGACGGGGACAGTGGGGAGGGCCTCGATTTTCTCTTTGTCTGCTGGTGGAGGGCCTGTGTTTTCAAACTGATTAAGGAGCTGAAAGAGAAGAGGTGGGCGTGCTGGGGGCTCTAGCTGGGTCCTGCCTGTCCCCACGGCAGGGACACCCGTCCTGGCATGTGAGAGCACCCCCCCCAGAAGCAGCCCTAAAGTGCCCCAGGACAAGGCTGAGCAGGCAGAGGCCGGGCCTCTGGTGCCTGGACAGTCCTGTGACCCAGATGTGCTCAGGCCCAGCTGCAGGGAGGTACCACTGAGCCCCCATCCCCTCCTACCTGCGTGATGATGGCATCCAAGCCGTTGGCCCCCCAGGCATAGTCCATGGGGTTTGAGTGCAGGACGCCCCTGAGAGAGAGGCGAGGTTCAGCACAGCCTGGGTGGGGGCAGGTGACAGGGCATACTGGAGGGTCACCCCTACTCACCAGGGGCCCAGGCCCAGGTTGGGGATGGTAGCAGGAGTGATGATGCCGTTGACCAGCTGCTGGATGATCCTGGAACAGAGGAGGGCCGTCACGCCCAAGGGCGGGGCCGCCATCTCCCCGCTGTTCTGCAAGAGCGTGCAGGAGGGGTGGGGAGGCAGCTACAGCCCACGCTCACCCCTCCAGCGCTCACCCCTCCAGCGTTGGGACACCCTCGTGCCGGCTGGCGGTGCGCCGGGCGGTGAGGCGCGCACGGGGCTGCCGGGCACCATAGCGGTGTCGGGAAGCATGTTCCCGGTCCCGCCGGCTCTCGGGGTCCCGGCTGTCATCAGGCTGGGTCCCGGGGGTGAACGTGGGAATCTCAAAGCTGTCATCGAAGATGCCAAAAGCGAACTGTCCATAGCCCTGTGGCAGTGTGAAGAGGTGCTGGTCCACGTTCTGTGGGAGATAGGAGTTGTGGAGGTTGTGCAGAGGAAAAGGGGGTATGGGAGGATGGAGTAGGTGTGGGGTAAACAGTTGGTACGGGATAATGGAGAGGTTGTGGGCAGAAAGGGTGATGTTGGGGAGGGGAGAAGGGTGTTGTGTGTGTGGGACGATCAAGGGGATGGGGAGGAACAGAAAGGGCGGGGGTGGGGAGAAGGATGCAGGGGACAGGATGAAGGATGGAGAAGGTGTAGGGAACAGGGTGTGTGGGATGGGAGAATGGAAGTGTAGGAGGATGGAAGGAGTGAAGGAATGGAGGTGTGGGATGGGAGGAGGATGGAGAGGAAGGAGGTTGAAGAAAGGAGGGGGCACAGGTGTCCCTTTGTCCTGGTACATGGGACCTCAGCTCTGAGCTCCACTCACCTCAAATGGCTGCCTGCTCTGATCTGTGGGTGCTGTGGAGGGTGCAGAACCGTTTTCTGAGTTCCTGGGGAAAGGGAGGTGGTGGGAGGTGGAACTGAGGCTGCACCTCGCCTGCCCCCAGTTCCATTCCCCAGGATGCCATGGTCCCAAAAACTACAACAGCCCCATCAGCCGACCTTACGGCTAGGAGACTAGGAACCCAGACCCCTCACTTGGCAGCCACGTGCAGGATCTCTGCACTCAGTGGCCCTTGAGCCCCTTGTCCACCAGCCTCTCTGGCCTGGCCTATTGCATCAGCTGTGTGTCTTCATATGATCTCGACTCCCTCCCCAGCGGCCCCTGCCCCACCTGTCCTCTCTCCGTCAAGGCCCTGGGACTCAGTGGCCTGAACACCACTCCCTGCCTTCATCCTGTGGCCCATCCTGCTTGAGTGCCTCCCAGGGCTGCTACCTGGTGTCTTCTGGAAGCTCCTCGATGAAGCCTGACTCGCACCGTGGGCAGATGTAGTCCTGCGGGGAAAGCAGGGTGTGAGCAGGCCTGTAGCACTTAGAGCACGGCCCAGAGTGGGCGCTAGAGCCCAAGGAGGTGCAGGCCCAGACGGGTGGCAGCCGTGACTTCTCACTCCTGCAGGGAGGCCATGCCCCAGGGGACACAGCGCCAGTGTCCTGGGAATGTGGCCCTGATAAGCCTGTGGCCAAGAGCCCCATCCCAAGTGCAGCATTGTTCCTGGGCCAGGGTGCACCCCTGGCTTCTCTGGAATGTTCCAGAAGCCCCAGAGCACATGGCTTCTCCGGGGCCAGCATGCCAACCCCAGTGTCTGCCATTTTCTCTCACTCACACCCATGTGGACACCCATGCTCACTGACAAAGCCCCAGGAGCCTGGCCAGAGCCAGCTCAGCCACAGAACAGCCCAGGGGTGGCCCGGCACTGGTGTCCCTCCCAGAACCAGCCACAGACCACTGCTAACCTGAGGGCTAGGCCACTGCACGGGGAGGCCAGCAAAGGAGGACAAAAGGAAGCAAAAGTGGACAGTGCTCTCTAGTGCATCATTCGTGTGACCAGGGTGAGGATGAGCGAAATGCTGCCAGGGAGAGGGCTGCTCTCCAGCTGGGGTGTGCTAGGACCCTCGGCCAACCTGAGTTGGACCTCAGCTGTGCAGCAGGCCAGGCTGCAGGTAACGGACATAGCAAGGCAGCCAGAGCCCCTGGCTCTGTGGGCAGTGACACTGTTCCACCAGCCAGGGCCACCCCCACAGACGTGCCCAGAGCTGTGTCTAACCCTGCTTCCCTCAACTTGCCTTGCTGAAATTGGGCAGTCAGGCCTAACCCTAGTAAACGCAACTGTGCCCTCACTCAGTGTGGCCACCCTGGGCTGCCTGGGCACTGCTGCCCCCTGCTGCACGTCCTGAAACTCCCTCACCCGCTGCTCCACAAAGGTCCCACTGTGGAGCGCTCAGCTACCTCTGCACCATGCCCGGTGGCTCTGCCGAGACCTTCCTCCCACACAGGTCACCTTGCATAGCTCACAACCCCTCTGCCAGAACTTTCCTCCACACAAGTCACCCCGCAGAGCTCATCCTGTGCCTGGCCCTTCAGCCAGGACCTTCCTCCCCCTAGGTCACCCTATGGAGGTCATGGTCAGCTCAGCATTGTGCCCGGTCCCCCTGCCAGGGCCTTCCTCCCCAGATAGCTACCTGGCTCACCCCCTTGCGAAGTCGGGCCTCTCTCAAACATCACCTCCGGCTCGCGCCTCGGTCTCCCCACCTGTAAATGGAGGACAGCCTCAACACCCGGGGCTCTGACCGCTGGATGCTCCCCAGGATGCCAGGCTGGGCCTCCTCTCTGCCCTGTGCCGGCTGCCCAACCCCCTCCCTGAAGTCCCAGGGACTCCTGGAAGGCTGGGCCTCTGTGCCTGGAGTGCGGACAGGCGGGCCCTGAGGACTGTCCTTTCCCACAGCACACTGCAGGGCTGTAGTGTTGTGGTCTTGGGGCCAGAGACAGCATGTGCCCAACCGAGGGGATGGGAGACCAGCACGGCACCTCCCTCTGCACATGTCACCTTCGGAAACAAGCAGCTGGATCCCAGCGCTGCGTCCTCAGCAACACAGCAGTGTGGTTCCCGGGGGGAACCCTGAACTGCTGCTCTTCCTGCAAGGGCCTGGCCAGGGAGGGACAGTCCATAGTCCTGTGCACGACCTGTCTCTCCCTCCACAGCCATGTAGCCAGCCCACTGCCTGTCCATCCCTCCTTCCATGGCCACACTGTCCACCGCCTTTCTGTCCTTTCCTCTACGGCCACACTACCCACTGCCTGTCCGCCC